CGCGCGCGCACACATCCCAACACAGGCACCCACACACAAATCCCGTACCCCAGCACGCACGCACACGCCAACACCACCGTCTCAGACCAAAAGGAAAACTTCCGTGTTACTTGGGGACCTCTCTGCCACTTGGTCCCTTGGCACCTGCAGTGAGGGCCAGCCCGGCCCTGGGTTGGAGGCAGGTGTCACTGCCCGCCAGGAGCTTTGGTGGATGGGTGGCAGTGAGAGCCCACGAAGCCGTTTGAGATCAAGACAGGACACGGTGAGAAGCCGGACCCGTCCCTAGAAGGGCCAGCGCCTGCGGTAACAGGCTGATGACGTCGTGTGGGTCTTGCAAAGGGCTAGGAGTAGATGGGCGAGTGTTTGGCATTTTACGGCATTGCACCTTTTAAAAATAAGACACTGCTGCTCAATTGTAGCCCGACTTCTCCCCACCACTGCTTATCTTCTCCTCTAGTTCCTGCCCCGTGATGGATTAGTACGTTTGAATATGGTCATCAAGTGTAACTTGGGCTTCTCGGACTGGGGTCAAATTCTCAAGACCTCATAACGGAAGCTTGAATTTGACTCGCGTTGAAAATACCTTTCTAAGAAGGATGGCAGCTTTTCCGATCTCCTATAGAAGCAGCTCAAATTGGAGTATGTTGTTTTTCTGCTTTAACGAAAGGATCAGTGGCAGTAGAGCCTGGATCGGGGTTTGAATCTTTGAGTTTCAGTTTTCTCATCTGCAGAATGGGGTATTACCTACCTCAAAAGAATGGAGGGAGGAGGGAGGTAGATGAAACCATGTACACACTTACTGTGCAAGTAATATTACAATAGCTGTCGCTGTGTCATCTTAGTTTTGTCATTCGATTTCTTGTATTGATGATTTTATTGATTAACCTTGCCCTCTCTTCCCTTCCTGTCTCCAAAGAACTGAAATTTTTAATAGCACTTAAATAGCAAAACTATGTGCTGGGCACTGTTTTTATTCATATCTATTACATTTAATCTTCAAGCAACCCTGTGAAGTCAGTCATATCACCCTCAGTTAGTACTGAAGAATCTGAGGCACAGAAAATATAAGTGATGAGCCCTGGTTCACACGATTACTACATATCTGGACCCAGAATTGAATTCAGGCCAGGATTTGAATGGGTCTTTGTTAATCTTTGGCTCCAAGAGTCTATAGTTTCAGTTAATTTAGTATTTTGAGGTTAATAAAATTCCATAAGACCATTTATCTGTGGCAAAGGAAATATTTTATCTAGTGCTTCTAGTTAAGGTTAGGGTTTATATGATTTTGTTGTTGTTGTTGCAGATGAAACAGAATTTCGAAACTTTATTGTTTGGCTTGAAGACCAGAAAATCAGACACTACAAGATTGAAGACAGAGGTAATTTAAGAAACATCCACAGCAGTGAATGGCCCAAGTTCTTTGAAAAGGTAATGAATTAGGAATCAAAATAGAAGTAGAGAGCTTTTCTAATTATTATATGAAGGAGAGATTCAAATTACTTTGTTCTTTTAAGATAAAAGTAATCGGTGCTAGAAGAGTTGAATTTCAAGGCTTTAGGTTTTTTCTTGTTTCTTTTGCTTTCACAGCAAATTATTTTCTCTTCCTTGCAAGCTTTCTATATTATATAGAAATCATTTTTTCTAGAAACAATGTGAAGTTTCGTGAGTAGTGGTATAGTGTACATAAGTGGTATATTCTATAAATGGGAATTACTTTGCTTTACTTACAGAACTATTCCTTATATTAAGAGAAGATATTATCAACATGTCTGAAAACTAAGACTGTCATGTTTGTGCTTATATTTAATGTAAATAGATATCCCTTGTTGTATACGCTAGAAATAGTCCTAAAAGAATCTGTCCATATATTTTGTGACTAGAGTAATTTTCCTATTGAAAAGGTATACTGAGGTGAGGTGGGCTGATGCTGCAGGAATAATGCAAGATTGCAACATGGAAAATAGTAGAAAGAAGTAAAGTTTATTATTCACCTTTCACAGATTGAGAAGGGGGCCGACACTCAGAGGCAGTTGTGGCCTCGAAGGGCCAAGAACTGGGTATATTTAAGGGCCTTTGGGGTAAAGGGGATTTGGTCTGGGGGGGTCTGGGCCAAAAGGAGTGTCCAGGGCTGTGGTCTTTGATGTTGATTGTAGCCACCTGAGACATTAGCCTCTCATGCCTTCGGGGTGGTGGGCTAGATGTGAGGAGACAAGGGGAGGGGTTTTTCCTGCAAGAGACCTGTCTGACTTTTGCAATGCACAAACTCCTTTGCAAAAAGTGGTCTATTATCATTTCTATGGCTCTGTCCTTGTCTTGCATCTGATGGAGATTTGCCAAGGGGGTGGGGTAGCCTGCCGTTGGCCTGCAGTAAAATGTAATTTTAAAATGTCTGAACGGCTCCTAAAACCTGCTTATTGGAAATTTATCTTATCTATGTCTATCTAACCTGTGTTAGATTCAAAGCGCATGTGGTGGAGTCTAAGCAAAAATGGTTATGCTGAGGCAAAAAGACTACGCTAAGCTACGTTTATTCTAAGTTTCTATAGGTACCTCCTTTCACCTATTGACTTAGTTTAATTTTAGTAACTTTTTTTAAAGTATTTATTTATTTAAATATAGATAGATTTTTTGAGTCTGGGTCTCATACTGTCACCCAGGCTAGGATGCAGTGGCATGAATCACTTTACCCCAGCTTTGACCTCCCGCGCTCAGGCTACTCATTGCCTCAGCCTCCTGAATAGCTGGGACTACAACTTTCTGTATTTCCGTTTTCTCATCAGTAAGTGGGGGTAATAGTTTTACCTCTCTTGTAGGGGGTGGCTTTGTTGTTAATGAGTGATATAGCGACATACCTGTTCTCAGACATGCCAAGCACATAGCGGGTGCTATGTGCTTATGATTGCCTCTGCTACTGCTACTGGATTATTTTCCTTTGCTTTTAAAGAAAATTTTGAGACTTTTCAGTGGGCTTCTTAAGACTTTGAAATATATTGTTAGTGTTTTATATTTGTTTATACTACTTTTTGTATCCATTCATGTGTACAAGACAATATGGAGTTTTACATATAGAAGGGTATTTGAAGAATATAAAACATTTTATACTGTCACCTAGATGTGACAGTAAAGTAGAATAACTTTAAGATAAATATATATTGGAACTTGCCTAAACGGAATTTGTCCTTTAAGTTGGTTTCTTTGAAATGGTGATGTTATCACTTAAAGCATATTTGTAACTTTTCTATTGGGATTGTTTTTAAATCATGAGTTACATCTTTTATATATCCTTAGTATTGATAATTTTTTATACTGTGAAGGTAGAGTTGCTTTTTGAATTACAACCAAATCTTGTGAGTGAAGGAATACATTTTTTGGTTAGAAAATGTGTTATAGCTAAAAGGTACTGATACATTAATTACCCCGAAAGGGTTTCCAAAAGGGAGTTGTGTTTTGGCTAATAACATTGTGCTGGAATTAGATTTTAAGCTCCTGAGAGACTCACTTGGACAACTTTCATTTGAATATTCAGCTTGTGATGTTTATTTGAAGTGCTTCGTACACCCTGCATGTATGTTACATGACTTAACTTTCTCAGTGGCATCTCCATGATACGAAGTATATGGAATATGAAAGCTGAGATTAGGTAATTTATTTGCATATCCTGTTTGTTTTTTAAAGTTACCATTTTTAATTGCTCTGTGTCTCTGAGACCTGGAATCAGAAAGTTTAGATTCTAGTCTCAGGTGTAGGTTGTGTGACCACTGGCAAGTGTCAATCTCTCTAGGCCTCGATTTTCTCATCTATAAAATGAGGAAGTTGTTCTAGATCCCAGGTGTCCTTCTTGGGATCCACAGAGGTGTAGAAGCTTCAGAAACGCATGATGGAAATATTTTGGATTTCCCTCCTTTCTCCCTTTCCCTCTGTCTCTCCCTTTCCCTTTCCCTCCCACCCATTCTTCCTTCTCTTTCTCTCCTTCCTCCCTCCCCTCCTTTCATCAGGGTCTTATTGTCACCCAGGCTAGAGTGCATTGGCACAATCATACCTCACTGCAGCCTCAAACTCCTGGGTTCAGATGATTCTTCTGCCTCAGCCTCCCAAGGAGCTGGGACTACATTCACGTACCAGTTAATTTTTTTAGTTTTTTTATTTGTAGAGACATGGTCTTGCTATGTTGCCCAGGCTGACGTTGAACTCCTGGGCCCACAAATCCTCCCACTTTGGCCTCCCAAAGTGCTGGGATTATAGGTGTGAGCTACCACACCCAGCCTGCTTTATTTTTTTTCTTATGATGGTACACTCTCTTTCTTTGGGTTATATAATTGCATCAAAAGTATAGTGATATAAATGTTTAAAAAAATTCTTAAGAGATTCAAATTGATCTTTCAACTCTACTATTCTTTTGGTTCTGTGACTTTTTGGTAATATGTAACTGTTTTTTGTTTTCCTTACAGTATCTCAGAGATGTTAACTGTCCTTTCAAGATTCAAGATCGACAAGAAGCCATTGACTGGCTTCTTGGTTTAGCTGTTAGACTTGAATATGGAGATAATGGTACGTTTTGTGGGGAATGTTTATTTTAAAGAAGGTGGGGAACAGGAAAGGGTGTGTGAAAATGTAGGAAACCCACCCGTTTGTTTTTTTGTTTTTCATTGTTATACCTTTGGTTCATTTTTATCAGGAGTAGTTAAAAGCACTTTCTATTCTTTCATTAATATTTGCATTTTTCTTTTAGAATTTGGAAATGATGCCTTCTGGAGAAGGCTAATTGATTTTTTTAGGGCTTTCAACAAGTTTTTTTTTTTTTATCTATTCAGCTTGGTTGGTAGGAACTATGCAATCCAATTTGTAATGTGCAGCTTATCAGGAGTATTTTTTAGCTCTTCCCAAATAAATTCCTATTCACATCTGGATTTATTTCTGTGTTATCGTTGCTTATGCCATTTGTTCCTTTTTTATAATCCTCCAACCTTCAGTGGTGGGCACATATGATCATGTGTACTGACAGTTGACTGTCATACACACAATTTGTAATACATATATTTCTCAGTAATAGTATGGTCTTTTTTAATGAATAAAAAAAGCTTGTGTGTGAAGTGTACATTTTTTAATATTGAAAAAGAAATTAACATATAATTGAAAGGTAAATGGTATAAAAGTCTAAACTAGAAAAGTTTAATTTATTAAAATTCAGAATTGCAAGAAAAAAGACTTGAAAATGGGTCAAAGTAATAATATTGTCACTTATCAGCAGGAGGTGCTAATGTTCTTTTGTGGTTTTACATTAGTATGTTGCCTTTTTTATTTTTAAATAACTTATTTTGAATCTGCTGAAACTTTAAATTTGTTGAAACCATTCTGAATTTTTATTATTTGTGCTTTACCATTTTTATTTCTATTTTTTTGTAGAGGAGGGTTCTTGTTTTATTGTCCAGGCTGGTCTTAAACTCCTGGCCTCAAGTGATCCTTCCACCTCAGCCTCCCAAAGTGCTGGGATTACAAGCATGAGCTACTGTGCTGGACCATGCTTTACCTTTTTTTAAAAAAGCCTTTTGCTAGCTTGTTGATTATGGCGATTAATATCTGACTTAACTTTTTTTATTTTCCTTTTTTGATGTAATTTTAGATTTATAGAAAAATGTAGTAGAAAGAATTTTCATTTGCCTAGATTCTACAAATTTAACATTTTACTTATCATTTTTTTCTAAACCACTTTGTGTTAAGTTGTAGATGATTCTCTTTTACCCTTAAATACTTTAATAATGTGCATTTCCTAAAGAACATCTTTGTCTACATAACCACAGTACATGAATCAAAATCAGGAAATTAACTTTGATACAATGCTATCATCTGTAGATGCTTTCATATTTCATCAACTCCTCACCCTCCCTCCCCCCTCAAAAAAAAAAAAAAAAAAAAAAACAAAAACCTGCCGGGCTTGGTGGCTCAGCCTGTAATCCCACGCTTTTAGGAGGCTGAGGTGAGTGGATTGCCTGAGCCCGCGGGTTTGAGACCCGCCTGGGCAGCGAGACCTCATCTCTACAATAAATTAAAAAAAAAAATCAGCCGGGCGTGGTAGCACGCGCCTGTAATTCCGGCTACTTGGAAGGCTGAGGCAGAAGGATCGCTGGAGCCCAGCAGGTCGAGGCTGCCATGGCGGGGAGTGGCCACTGCACTCCAGTCTGGGTGACAGAGTGAGACTCCAACTCAAAAAAAAAAACAAACAAAAAAACAAAACAAAAAAAACCCCAAAACAATCCTGGACTATGCATTGCATTTAGTTGTTATGCCTCTTTAGTATCCTAAAATTGGGTACAATTTCTGTCTTTATTTGTGCTTCATGACATTGATGTTTATGTTATAGAATGTACCTCAGCCAGGGTTTGTATGATGTTTCCTCATGATTAGATTCAGGATTTATAGTTTTGTTAGGAATAACACAAGTGATGTGTTCTTTCTGGTGCCCCATACAGAAGGTATGTGATAGTGGTGTGTCCTTTTGCTAGTTATGTTAACTCCGATCACTTGGGTAAAGTTTCTCTACTTAAAGTTACAGTTTTCCCCCTTTGTAATAAATGCATATCTTGGGGATAGGTGCTTTGAGACTATGTCGGTATGCTTTTGCTCCTAAAAATTTTCCCTACTAGTTCCCTACTAGCCTAAGTCAATTATTACGTGTTGGTGATTACCAAGAGGTGTTTTTCTAATTCCATCATTCTTTCTGCATTTATTTGTTGGCTTCTATAAGAAGCTTTCCTATCTTGCCAGTTTGTTTTAAATCAGTACAGATACGTGGAATCTTCTTTTAACTCACTGGATCATACTTTTTTTTTGTCTTTGCATATTTTGATATTTATACAAGTCCGCATCTGGCCAGTGGGAGCCCCTTTAAGCAACTCCTGCCTGACTTAAATTTTGATGCTCTTATTTTTTTCATTTTGTTTCACTGTCAAATCATATAAGCACTATAGCATAAGTTGCCATTTGAGCATAGTGAATTAAGTGGGGTTTTTTTTCCGTGAATTCTCTTTAAATATTAAATATTTTTCAAGTGAAAGTAATAAAATTTACCTTTGGAATTCTGAATTTTAAGTTTCCCTGAAATGAGTTTTAGGTTTGTATACAAGGTGGGGACTTAAAAAAAATGGAATTTATTTATAAGAAATTGCATTTATTCTTACATGTTTAAACATCAGTCACCTTCAAAGTACTTGATGTAATACACCTATCGAGATGCTTTTTCCACTGCCAAAAGTTTTTGAACTCGTCGATTTTGATGGCTTTTAGTGCTTCTGCTGTTTTTTGTTTCACCTCTTCCACATTTCATCAAGGGAAACAAAAAAAATTGCTGGGGTAAGATCGGGTAAATAGGGAGGGTGGGCATGGGGCTCATGCCAGTTTTGGTCAAAAGCTATTGCACATTCAGCATGATGTGGGCAGGTGTGCTCGTAAATCACACATTAACTGAAACTGAACACCTTCACTCACAACAGCACTAGCTGGTTCGCTGATGCCTATGGGTTTTCAGAATACTTACCTAGTGGGGGAAACCTGTACTACAAGGGACCTGACCACCAAAAGATAATTGAAGTTTTTTTGGGTCCCCCTCATATGATAGTATGAAGGTTTTGTTTTTAAACTTTTAAAGTTTTTAAGTTTTTGTTTTTAAGCAATGTTTTTGTATTCCATACACAGCATTCAAAAGATGATTTGGAGGAAAAAACTTCTTAGCCAGTTAATATGTAAATCTTATGTATTTACCCTCCTTCCATTCTTCTACTTCAAGTTTCAGAGGGAGCTATCAAAGTAGACTTTTTCCCTTCTAAAGTTTAGATGTTTGAAATGATTACCTTTGGAAATGTGAATGAAAAGATATCTGTGTCAAGTATTCCAGAAATCATCTTGGCTTAATAAAAAAATACACTTTTCTATAGCAACAATTAATTGTGATTGGGTGAGTTATTTTACGTTTATACTGATTGAGCATTCCTAATCCAAAAATCTTAAATCCTAAATGCAGCAAAATCTGAATTTTTTGAGCCCTGACATGAGGACACAAGTAGAAAATTCCACACATAAATACTTAACACAAACTTTGTTTCATGCACAAAATTATTAAAAATATTGTATAAAATTACCTTCAGGCTATGTGTATAAGGTATATATGAAACATAAATGAATTGTGTGTTTAGACTTGGGCCCCATCCCCAGGATCTCACACTATGTATATGCAAATAATCCAAAATCTGAAACACTTCTGTTCCCAGGCATTTCCTATAAGGGCTGTTCAACTTGTAGTGACTTTGGCTTGGTTAAATTCAGTAAAGCAGCAGTGTTTATTTTACCTTAAGTTGTGATTCTTCAAACTATATTTTTACCTCTTTTTTATAGCTGAAAAATACAAGGACCTAGTACCTGATAATTCAAAAAATGCTGACAATGCAACTAAAAATGCGGAACCATTGATCAATCTGGATGGTGAGTATATAAATGCATAAAACTGATCCATCAGCAGTTTTGTTTCTTATATACTTTTTAATTTTTAGAATGAAGTCCAGGCTTACTTCTTTTGATTAAGTTAAGAGGGATCCATTCAGACAGCATTTATGTTGACATCTTATTTTCTATTTTTTTAAAATCTCAGTTGCAGTGTGCTTTCTCCCTCCCCTTGCATTTGAATATCTGAATGTTAAAGTTACTTTCTTTGATTTGCACCTAGTATTTGGGGTTTCAATTTGTATTTAATCATGAGGGTCATTGTTTGCCTTTCTAAATGTATGAATTTTTTTTTTGAGTTGGAATCTCACTCTCACCAGACGAGTGCAGTGGCACACTCCACGGCTACTGCAGCCTCTACCTGCTGGGCTCAGGCGATCCTTCCACCTCAGCCTTCCGAGTAGCTGAAACTATAAGGCGCACGCTACCACACCCAGCTAAGTTTTTGATTTATTGTAGAGACAGGGTCCCACCAAGTTGCCCAGGCTGGTCTCAAACCCCTGGCCTCAGGCAGTCCTTCAGCCTCGGCCTCCCAAAGTGCTGGGATTACAGTCTTGAGCCACTGTGTTCAGCTGAACTTTTTTTTAATCCAATAACTCTGTGAGACAAGTGGTGAAATTTCTCATTATTTTGAGTCCCAGAGGTCTTTTAGTAATTTTTTCCCTTTTTAAAAATATGAAGATCATAATTACTTAGATTATATGTTAAGTATCCTTTTCCTGACTAATTCATCGTGACCTGTAATATAGATGTTATCCTTTTGAATTAATAAGCTTCTTGGACACCCCAGAGCCACTGCAGAGAGAAAAGGTTTTGGGAAAACTGTCCATTGACAGGATCTGTGTATTAAAATTAATGGCCTTGGGAAGAAATGTTAATTAAAAGTGCTACATAAATGAGCCTTGCAAAAGTTACAGGACAAACCTAATGTGAGTTAAATTAGTCATTTATGGGATTGTTCAATTTGGCTGATGAAATAGATACTCCTTGACTTATGATAGGATTACATCCCAGAGTCTAAAATACTGTAAGTCGAAAATGCATTTAATAGCCCAATAAACCCATCACAAAGCTGGGAAATTGTAAGTGGAGCTATTGTAAGTCCAGATGCTCCCCATCTTACCATGGGGTTACATCCCAATAAGTCCAACTATCCTAAGTCCAGGTACTTTATGTATAGAGATGGGAAAACCATTTATCAGTTTACCTCATTGTTGATATTCTATTGCTTTGTTTTTTTTCATCAGCAGCAGTTTAAAAACTTAGTGATTTGTTGTTAGTAGAAAATTAAAAATATTTTTTGTAAGTTTATGTATTCACAAATATTCCTGTGGTTATGTTTGCAGAGCTATAATTTTGTTTGTTCATTTTTAATCTTTTATAGTAAATAATCCTGATTTTAAGGCTGGTGTGATGGCTTTGGCTAACCTCCTTCAGATCCAGCGTCATGATGATTACCTGGTAATGCTTAAGGTCAGTTTTACATTCTAAGTATTAATTATTGGCATTTACTTGAATGGTCAAATGACTAAAATACAGTAGAGGATTGTAAGATGTAAAGCAGATTTCATGATTTTATATGTTTTAGATTGTCTACTGTGGGCCTGCCACTGTGCTAAATCCTTTCCAAAGGTGATCTCCTTCTATCTTCTCAAAAATCCTAGAGGTGGTTGCTAGTATCCTTCACATGTATATAAAGAAACTTAGATTCAAAGAGGAGAAATAAAGAGACACGAAAAGTGGGGGAGCCAGGATTTTAAGCATTCTGACCCTGCAGTCCATTCTTTTTCCTACATTACTTTACTTCTGTTTAATCAGTCCTTTTACAGATCCATGGTCTATTCATTAAGATAGTGGAAAATGCCAAGTCATTAATGGTGTATTTGGTCAAAAATCTCTACCCCCAAAGTTTCTTTGAGAAATGAATGTTTTTCTCTACTGAGCATCCCATCCTAGATAGGCCACTCAGTTCATTCCTCTATTACTTCACAACCCAGTAATCTGGAAGAGGTTTCTTATTTCTGAGAGAAAAGTATATTTATACCAAACTATGTATTGCTAGTGATTGTGAAAATACAGTGTGGAGTGGTACTTAAGCTATCAGACTTGGAAATTACTCTAGAAATTATTATTAATTTTATAAGAGACCAAAAGCTTTTGACTAGACCTTGTACATGTAAATTACTTTAAACTACTTTGTAATTAATTGAATAGATTTCACTCTACCTAGAAAAAAGTAAACCATAATGTATCTTATTTAGAATTGTATGTATTAAATGTCAATTTTGACATGAGAAAGACTACCCTATTCCTAACTTAGTATAATCTTCTACACTGAATCTGAATACTAACTTGGGTTTTCTCAACCCTGATTGGATGTCAAAAGACCAAAAGTTGTTTTTAGTGAAACTTAGCTATTTCAAAGGCTTGTTCTTTACTCAATTATGTAAATTGCTTTGGAACAATTCTACAGTGGCGATGTCAACTTTAATCATAAAAAGGAGAAACACAATGCATATATGGGGTGCTTTTGTTAGACTTTGAAAGCCCAATGGATTGAAGTATAAATCAGTGGAAATAAAAACCTTTATAAAATTCTAGACCTAGCTGCATATCTGTCCGCTTTGAGTTATTTTAAGAGGTATTCAACTGAGTGTGGTGGCTCAAACCTGTAATCCCAGGATTTTGGGAGGCTGAGGTGGGAGGAATTGCCTGAGCCCACAGGTTTGAAACCAGCCTGGGCAACTTGGCAAGACCTCATCTCTACAATAAATCAAAAATCTAACCTGGTGTACAGCACACGCCTGTAGTTCCAGTTACTTGGAAGGCTGAGGCGGAAGGGTTGCCTGAGCCCAGCGGATTGACAGCCGTGAGTGTGCCACTGCACTCCAGCCTGGGCGACGGAGTGAAACTCCCAACTCAAAAAAAAAGAGATATTCAAACAATACATGATAATGTAGAATATCTTCATAGGTTTGCTAAGTATGAGAATCAATATATTAACCCTTCGGTAACCTGATTGCTTTATACATTTGCGGTCACTGCTCAACATTGTTTTAATTATCTTTTTCAATTATAACATTTTGTTTTTTATTAAAAATAACTTTTAAGTTTTCTTTTGAGTTGTAATTTCATCCCCCTAATTAAAATTCCATTAGGAAATACTGTTTTTAAAGTGTATATACATGCCTGTGTGCCTGCCACAGTGAAATACCTTGGTGGTTAAAATAAATCACTAACAATTTGTCCTTTGAAAAGTCTGAAACACTTTACTATAATTTAGTGAAAAAAGCAAAGTATGACTGTGTATGATATGCTGTCCATTGAAGTGGTCTGTGTATTAAAATTACTGGCCTTGGGAAGAAATGTTATTTAAAAGTGCTACATAGATGAGCACTGTGTCAAAGATTGTGTGTTCATGTGTGCATAATTTGTAATTTAATAATTTAATTAAATAGTTTTAATTTAATAGTTTTGTAAGGCTACATTTAATAGTAATTTAATAGTTTTGTAAGGCTACATTTAATAGTAATTTAATAGTTTTGTAAGGCTTGTAATTTAATAGTTTTGTAAGGCTACATAAGAATCTGTATTAATGATGGGTAGGTTTAAGGGTAGGAAGGAGACCTACTTATTACTGTATCCTTCGGAATTTTTTTTTTAACCAGGTACAGGTATTAACTACTCAAAAAATGTTAATTGTTAATAACAAGCACCGTTCCTTATTAAATATTAAAATTGTGAAAACCTTCATTATGTTTTTTTTTTTTTAGTTTATTGGGGAGCTTATTAATGAACTAGGAATTCTAACTTTATCAAACTGAGCATCCTTATTCTCTAGGCCAAGAGAAGAAAGGATGACAAACAGCCTATAAAAAGTAAAAATAAATATTTTTTGATTTCTTAGGCAATTCGCATTTTGGTTCAGGAGCGCTTGACACAGGATGCAGTTGCTAAAGCAAATCAAACAAAAGAGGTATGTCTTTATAAATTAATAAAAATTTCTTCTGGTATTACAGTTAGCTTAAATTTTGCGTGTATCTGTTTAAGATATCCATTCTATGTTACAATTGCCCAGAGAAGGGATAGCTTACTTCAGTGCAGTTGAATTTGATTAAGCATATTGAGTGAATTCAGTTGCTGGGGACCATTTTTGAGTGGAAAATGAACATGTTTCTCTCACTTAATCCCTTAGAAGAGCTACCAGTAGCTGTTTGAAGTATGTTTAAAAGGACTTACCTTATGAGATTTATTGGATTATTTTGACTATGCTGGAAAAGAAATGACACATCTCTTTGTTACCAATTGGTTTTCCTTTTTAACTTAAATTGTATCTTTGTTCTTTTGTTTCTTCAGAACAAATTCTCATTTTGTTCAATTTCTTGGCATAAAACATGAGGAAGTAATTTGGCTAAAGTCGCCTAGTCAAAAGGGGTCAAACTCGGGCAGTCTGATTCGAGAACCTGTGCTCTTGTGGTGGGTAGGGACAAGGGTTTGTGTGTAGAGGGCTGCATGAGCTTGTTGATCTGCCCAGGTGAAGTGGGAGAGAGCACTGTTGAAGTGTAAGGTTTAGGGTCCAGGTGACTGAAATAGTATTATCTTTCAGTCCCACTTTATAGGCTAAGAAACTTATCCACCATGACCACCTTCCCCTTGAAAATAAAACAAGAGGATGTCTGGGATATTTTGAGATTGCAGATATAATCTCAATATCTGTAAAGCTCGTTGACTGTGAGGGCAGTGGTGAGCATGTCATCGGGGTTAGCAGCAGTAGTTGATAGTGTCTGGTGATGCCTCCCTCCTGCTGCGGAGATGCTGCAGTGAGTGCCTCAGGCACAGCCACGATTCTGGACTCTGGTCTCTTCCTTCTCCAACCTTCCCCCCTCCTAATCTCCCAGTGACTTGTCCTCTGATGCCAGGGCAATGTCTCTGAAAAACTCTTAGTTTTCTTTTAAAGGTTCTTATTGGCTTATTAATTCTATATGAAACAAGCCACTGGAAATTGGATTAAAGATCAGCTTATTTCACCCACACTAGAACAGACTGTAAATTGTTCTGGCATAATAAAATAATTCATTTAGCAAAGCTATGCCATTGGCTTGGAAGGCAGTACAAATAAGGCCTAGTCAAATCTGTTTGCTCTTATTTGCAAAGTAAAATTTAGTTTTATTTTCAGTGTTCCAACTCTTAATTTTAGTGTCATCTTAAAGGACACCAGCCTATAATTATTTAATGAGTTCTTACAGTTTAGTGTACTTGTTTGTAACCATTCATAACTAATATTGGAGGCATGTGGTAGTTTTCAGGGGTAGCTATTCCTGTGGTCTCCTGGCAGACAAGGGGGAAGATGGAGCCTCGAGTCCCAGGTGGACGTATGAAGCCACTAGTGAAATTCTACTTTCATTTTGTTCACTGTACTTTCATAACCATTAGTTTCTTCACTTATATAACTTATTAGCTATTTTAAAGCAGGTGGCATCTAAGTACATTTACATTGATAGATCAGGCAAAAACTGAGTAGTGACTAAACCATTTGAGTCAATTATAACATTGAAAGTATGGGAAGTGGTTGTTTTCTTTTTAATTGGTAATGATTTTATACAGTGTAATCAGGAGGAACTCCAGACTGTCTGTCCTCATTTTTATTTGATAGTCGTCAATGTCTGTACCGTTTGGCATCATCGTCACCATCTTTGGTTAGCTAAATGGTGTAGGTTTCCTTCATTTTATTACACTGTTTCCCAGTAACTTCAGGTAAGCTATTGAAAGTTAAATTATACATACATCGTCTTAGTTAAATATCACGCTGGCTGAAAAAACAGTTGTGTATATTTTAGACAGGTTTGTGGAGACAATGTGCTCAGAAATAAATGGACTTCAGTGAATTACTTTACTTGAGGAAGGTGGTAGTATCAAGTAGTCCTGTTTTGTTGGTTTTTTTTGCTCTGAACACTGTCTCACTGTGGCTCAAGTGACACCGGAGCCTCCCTGCATAGCCCTCCTTCCCTAGCAGCAGTGGTAGGGCACTGCCGCAGTCAGGATACATTGTTTTATAGCCTGTTCTAGAAGACTGGAGGGGCTTCTATAGCATAGAGCTTGCTGGGACATTGAAAGGTAATTTTTTTTTTCTGGCTGGTTGTAATAGGGAAAAACTTGCTCATTGTGAGGCTGTTTTTAACAGAAAATTCGTAGTTTCCTTTACCCCGAAGCTAAGAGTTATTAAAATAACAGAATAGTTATTAGCTGCTTTTTACAGTTAAAAATGTTATTCTCGACTACAGTCTCATTTTGTCTTTTTTTTTTTTTAAGGGCATGCCTGTTGCTTTAGACAAACATATTCTTGGTTTTGACACAGGAGGTAAGTGTTTTTGATTAAAATATTTTTAGAGACTTGGTGAATACTTAGGAAATGGGTAAATGGTCTTAAGTGTATAAATTATATATTGATATAGTGTTCTTTTCTTATAAAACAGACGCAGTTCTTAATGAAGCTGCTCAGATTCTGCGATTGCTGCACATAGAAGAGCTCAGAGAGCTGCAGACAAAAATTAATGAAGCCATAGTAGCTGTTCAGGCAATTATTGCTGATCCAAAGACAGACCACAGACTGGGGAAAGTTGGAAGATGAACACTTCTGGATTTCAGCTTCTTACCTACTTAGCACAGTTTGGGAACCATGTACACTTTTGGCATGTGTTTGGAAATCAAATGTCACATTTTCAAGGGAAGAATCCCAGAAAATTGACCTTGTTGTAGAGATTCACCACCATTACTTTTTTCCTTAATAAAGTTTGGGAAAGTGGAATTTTTTTTTTTTAATCTATACTATATGTTTGCATAACCAGCTTACTCCTTTGTGGTTAAGGTACATGCCAACCCTCATCTTTGTTATAGAGACAATATAGATCCTTAAGTCTTAGGAAAACTTAAAATATTTTATTGGAGTAATCTAGAAAATTTGAGGACTGTTGTATCTTTGGTATTTATAAATGTGGTACTTCTATAGAGGCACTTACAGGATCAGAAAATACAAATGGAATCATTCTAGCACCTTCTGATATAAATAGAAATGCACTGATGTAGAGGTAAAAAAAAAAGTCAGAACTTGTTGGGAAACTATAAATAATTAGTCCTTTCCCATCAGTTCTGCTTTGTGTGGTGATCTTTAGGATTGTATTTTTATATAGATCATATGTACTTTAATTTCTTGGAGAGAGAATCCCTAGCAAAAAAAAAATCAGATTTAGAGTCTTAAACTCTAACTGGTTTTTAGCTGAACTAATTTGACCTTTTAAATACGATATAAATGTTTACAAAAGGTTGCTTAAATAAGCAACAATTAAAGTTGTTACCTTTTTTAAAATTTGCAACCACCTTCATTTTTAAAAATACAGTAGTAAAAATTGAGGTATAAACTTTTCACAAAAATATACTTAGTCTTTTTGCACTAAGAATGTTCATCTGTGTGTCCAGGAACTTCTTATGGCCAATTCCTTTTGCGCTTTCTTTGCCTTTGTTTGCAGTAAATGTGCTTTAGGGTCCAGGTTCTGATTGCAAACTCCAAGTCCTCCTTTACATTGCTGTATTTACTTTCTTCCTGTGAGGGAATAGTGGGGGTGGAGAAGGGGTGGTGGGTGACTATTCTGTAACCAAGCTGAAACAGTAAGTCTTTCACTTTGTGTATATATAGGTAAGCCAAGTAGAAATGACTGGCCTCTCCCATGTATTGGTCACTAACATTTCCAGCTCATGGTAGCTCTCACTTGTGAAGAGGGCAGTGGTGGCAGTGTCAGAGAGCAGGAGGGCCAAGGTAATCAATTAGCACATCTCTTTACCCGAATCTGGTGAAGCATGTTTGTTTACCTGCTGGGCAGTAGGGGTAGACTGCAGTTATCCCGTAGAGATGAGATCGCTGCTCTGGGAGGTACTCATCAGTAAACTGGCCACTGTCTTTATTTACTGAGATAACACCATCCCTAGTAACAAAGGAAAAGTGAGTTCTCGGAGAGTCTGTCACCAGTTAAGATAGGAGAGGTTAGATACAGAAAGTCCCTTTCAATAGCAAAAAACCTCTGCCAGCTTTCTTCCAGGGATGCTGCTGAAGCCACGCTGAAATCTGAGAACCACTGGTCTAAATCAGTTGTTCTCAACCCTGGCTGCAGGTTAGAATCACATGACAATCTATTAAAATACTGACACCTGAGTCTCATTCCAGACCAATTAAATCCCAAGAATTGAAGGGGATGAGGTAGAGGGATTAGGCTTTTTTTTTTTTAACATTTCGCAATTCCTCATTTGAGAATTAGTCTAATATTTTTCCGTCTCCCAGATAGATAACTAATATGCTTACGATGTTGGTTTTTTAAAAAATCAGTTTAAACTCTATACCTAGTATATTTTTCATGGTATCACTTAAGGGTAGTCTCTTATTTGAAGAACGGATTTAGATGAATGTGCTTCCCTTTTAGATAGTCATTGCCAAATAACTGCCACTTTTAAGTTACATGTGAGCAATACCATTAAATGGGTGAAGTAAAAAGATGACATCAAAACCTGCAACACTTGAAGGAGGTCATCTGCTAATGGGATCATGAAATGAGCTTCGGCAGCAGACTCAATCACTAGTTACTTGCTGACTTTTGGTGAAACAAGCACTATGTCCTTCAGGACAGTGTGCCTTTTCAGGCTTGTCCAGACTCGGGCTTACCTCCTCCAGTCTGTGTGGTAGAAGTGGTCTGCATAGCTAACAATGCTGAAGGGGTAGTTGAGGTTGTTTTGAATGACACGCCGTCCACTTCCATCAGGCAGTGTGCACTCCAGCTTTTTGGTTCCTTTTAAAACATAAAGGGGGAGAATGAGATCCTTTCTCACCATGGAGAATAAAAGAAGCTGCTTGACCAAGGTGGCAGATTACATCTCCGAACAATATCTGACGTTCCCTGCAGTTATACAGATGAGCAACTGTAAAGTTCCCTGCTGTTACTAGTCTCTGGTTAATAGAGAATTTTTCAATCACTTTTCAGAAGGAAAGATTGCATTTACTGGAATTCGGCAAAGTTTCTTCCAAAGTAGTGCATCAGAGATAGGTATTTTCATAACTTTGTAACTTCAAGCCCTAGCTTACAGATTATTGTAACATAAGATCTGGTTAAATACACGCCCTTTGTAAGCAGCATGTATAATGGCTGTGACAACCTTTTCACCAAAATCCTTAAATATTTTTTAAAAAATGTATTTCCCAGGAGGAGGAAAAAAGCAACCAAAATATTAGCATGGCTCTATTTTTCTATGTAAATGAATCAGTCTGTAAATTTTTACAATAGCTAAACAATTGAAGAATTTTCAAAGTTTTGCATTTCTCCTGGAGCCCTGATGAATTTGAAGTACTAACATGTAACTTGTTTTGAAAACGGTTGTAAAAGTGATCCATCTTGCATTATAGCCCCTTTTATTAGATTATAAATTCTTCAAGAATTTCATATTTTTTAGTGTAGAACTCCCAGACACCTAGCATCTTTTCAACTGTACAAAGGAAAAGCACTCAACAGAAATAACTCGGGTGTTAGCACCCAAATTTATTACTAAGGGAAGCCACCCTGCTAAAACACTTTTCAAATGTCCTCAGCTGAACAACATACTGTTAGAGTAACAGATGTTTAAAGATAGTTATAATGCTCTCCGCCCTCCCCCCCAAAATAGCTTCTATTATCTAAATTTGTCAATTCAACGGCTAATTTTTTTTTTTGAGTCAGAGTATCACTCTGTCACAAAGTGGCACACTCATGGCCACCACAGCATTGACCTGCTGGGCTCAGGTGATCCTTCCGCCTCAGCCTTCCAAGTAGCTGAAGCTATAGGCACATACCACCACATCAGACCAATTTTTTTCATTTATTGTGGAGACAAGTTCTTGCCATGTTGCCCAGGTTGGTCTTGAACCCCTGGGCTCAGACAATCCTCTTGCCTCTGCCTCCCAAAGTACTGGGATTAAAGACAAGAGCCACACCTGCTCTTAATATTTCTTTTTAACTCTTAAAAAAAGTATGAGGTCAGGCAAGCAGTACAGATTTACTGCCTGATTCAGCCTTTCTATCCAAGCCTCAGTAAGTTCATAATAAGAATCACTTTAAAATAGTTTTTTTTTTTTTTTTAAATCATATTCTGGATTTAATCATAGGCTGGAGTGCTGGCATGATCATGATGATCACTGCTCATGGCAGTCTCAATCTTTTTGGCTCTGGTGGAAACCTCAGCATCCTGAGTAACTGGCACTACAGACATGCTGCCTCGCCTGGCTTTTTTTTTTTTTGGTAGAGATGAGATCACACTGTGTTACCCACACTGGTCTCAAACTCCTGGGCTCAAGCAGCCGCCGGCCTCGGCCTCCCAAAGTGCTGGGATGACAGGCATCAGCCACTGTGCCTGGCCCAAGAATCATTTTTAAATAGTCTTTAAAAATCTACAGACCCGGCTGGACACGGTGGCTCAAGCCTGTAATCCCAGCGCTTGGGGAGGCCGAAGTGAGAGGATCGCCTGAGCCCATGGGTTCAAGAACAACCTAGGCAGCTTGGCAAGATCTCATCTCTACAATAAATCAAAAAACTAGCCAGGCAGGCTAGCACAAGTCTGTAGTTCTGGCTACTTGGAAGGATAAGGCAGAAGGACTGCCTAAGCCCAGCAGGTCGACGCTGGGGTGGCCGGGAGCACACCACTGCACTCTAGCCTGGACGATGGAGTGAGAGACTCCAACTCAGAAAAAAAGTCTACAGACCCAACAAAGGAATATGTACTATATTCTTATAAACGTATTTAAATCAAAAGATCTACATGATGGGATCGGGCTTTGTAGTAAAATCCCTTACAGTGCCCACACCCACTGGAATGAAGGGTTATCTATTGCATTCCTATAGTAGGATTACCTGCATCTGCCCAGCAGAGCAGTTTGGAGAAGAGGTCAAAGGTTAAGCCATTGGGTAATCCAATGTCTTTGTTGATCAGAATTCTTCTGTTTTCTCCATCTAAAGAAGATGTTTCAATTTTAGGAGCTTCTCTATTCCAGTCAGTCCAGTACAAGTTGCTGTAGATGAATTAAAAATCAAGATTGTAAAAGAGTAGCTTTGCAGCCTGTGGTAGGCAGCCTCTAAGACATCCCCCAGGGGTCCTCTACCCCCCGCCAGGCTTAAGCAATTCCCTTGAGTGAGGGGCTGGTTTTAGTATCTTGCTCCTTGTGAGTCGAGTATGGCAGAAGGGATGAGGAATCACTTCCAATATTGGGTTTCAAAAAAGTGTGGCTTCTGCCTTGGTGCCCTCTCTTGCTCCCACTGAGGGAAGCGAGATGCCATGTTGCAAGCTACCCTATAGAGAGAACCACGTGTCAAGGAACTGATGTCTCTAGCCAATAGCCAGCAAGGACATGAGGCCTGCCAACAGCCCACGTGAATATGCTTGGACATGGGTTCCCCCCCCCCCAAGCTTTGATATCACTGCACCTTGACCAATCCCTGGTTGCAGCACTGAGACTCCATGCCAGAGGCACTCAGTTAAAGCACATCCAGACCAGCCAGATTCCTGACTCACAAACTGAGAGGCAATAAATGTTTGTGGTCAAACTGCTAGGGTTTGGGACAATGTATTAACATTACACAGCAACAGATAACTAATACACCACCATATTCCACTTCTATCTGGCAAGTATATTAGAATATGTGGAAGAAGGCATTATTGTCTAAGTTCCTATCAGAATCCTTGTCTCTGGACACCCCTAACTCAACTGCCCAGAAACCCTTACTTCTTGAAACCTTGAATTGGATCTTGGGCTTAGACTCCAAAAAGCACAGTTGTTTGTTAAAAATGGCCTAACTAGCCGGGCTCGGTGGCTCAGCCTGTAATTCCATGCTTTGGGAGGCTGAGGTGAGTGGATTGCCTGAGCCTGTGGGTTC